GACACCTGATTTCCTGAAGGTGGAAGTGTTGTTGACCACCTTGAGGGTGTGATCTAGAAGGGAGAAATGGGTATCTAAACCTACTTTGGACAAAGATGATTCTAAATTAATTTCTCACCATTGCAGACACAAAACAAAATATTTCCTTAAAAATAAATAAATAAAAGGAAAGAAAGTTACCTTGAATCTGTTTTAAATTATTTCTGTAGAGCAACCCATGATATACAATCACTACTGCTTGTAGGCAGTTTTATGGGCACACTAGAGCTAAATTTTACATAACTGGGAAAATAAATTTAGACCTTCTTCAGATGAAGCTTGCTGTGCTATAAATCTGTGCAGTTTGAGTTCTGTCTGAACAGCCCTTTATTAAAATTCACACTGCAAGGTGAGAGGGGTTGGGGCAGGTTTAGGTAAAGATCAAGAAGATTAGAACAAACAAAAGAAGAGAAAATGCAAAGAAAAATAATCTGGGGTGGTTTGTACCTGTAGCTGATACTGTGTGAGGGAAACTAAGGGAATGACTTCAGGAAACTTAAGAAAATCAAAGGAGTAACACAATTCAGTAATACAATATGGTACATTTCTTTCATATTTCTCTGAAGCAACTTTGCTGTGTAGGCATTTTCCTCACCAAATGTTTTTCATGTGGTCACCTTTCAAACTAACTTAATGTATAACTTTACATAAGCATGTATAGCAGTTGGCACCTATTTGTTCAAAAATCCGTTTTCCTTATTCTCACAAAAAAATCAAAGCAGTGTGACTAAAAGCCAACAGGTCTTTGGAACAGAAGCGTTCTTGTCCATGTACACCAGGTCACACTGCCTTAGGTGGGGAATGAATGGCTGCAGATTGACTGCATCTCCCAGTTTGGACTCCGGCCTGAGTATCTGCAGGAGGGAGCAGCGTCCGTTGATTACCAGTGTGCAAGCACTCCATTCCTTCTGGCCACAGATAGATAGATAGATACATAGATGTGGAATCAAACCTAGTATAGTGTAAAATATATAGCAATCACTTTAATCAATTTATAAATGCCCCTGTAAGTGTGGTTTTAGTATTGTGAGTTCTGAATGAAGAACAAAAATAATCCTAAATGATACAAAGCATATAAAGCTTCAGATAACCCTACCTGTCAGTAGGACCTCTGAGTGTAACAACTCTTGAAGATACTTGATTCTCTACAAATAAGCAGCTGCAGCAATGTGGAGGCCCCCACGAGCTCATTCGGACTCTTTCAATGGAGGGCTGTAGGTGCGTGTACCCCATCATGTTCTGATTACCAGAGTCAGAAGCGTCTTTGACTTACCTGTAGGGGCACCATGTTAGGAACATAATTTCTGCTGTGTGGTGGATGGGGCTTAAAATACTGAGCTGGTATAAAGCTCAGAAAAACTGTTGGTGGGAGAGATTTCATTAGCTTCAGCAAGATGCAACTGGCCATGGAGAGTTGCTCCTGGCTTCGATGTAGGTTGTCTGAGGAGGTATCGACTGCTATTTCTGCCGGGAGCAGATGTTGGGAATATCCGCTCAGGGTGTGGATCCCACAGCATGAAGCAATATGTCACTGCAGGCTGAAGTAATAGAATGAGTATTTCTGAGCCAGTGGATTTATACTGTTCATGTTCACTGTAACTGTGTAAATATGAATTCAAGCTTCTGTATAAAAAACACAGTAAAATGGATTGTGTTTTGAGATGCCAGACTGACCTGTTAGCTGTCATTTTCAAGTGTCTTTGTATACTTTTCTGTGATGCTATGGTGTATCAGTTGCACACTTTTCGGGAAAATGGGACTTCTGTACAGTGGATTCATAGATGGGGCAGAATGCAGCTGATCTAAATATTCTCTGCATTTATAATGGACTCTGCCATTTTTTTAAACAAAATCCTGAAGAAGCTTTGTTTTACTTGGACTGCTGAAATGTTTCTGCAATGTAATTATTTTAGTTGAGTATTCTGAAGCAGTAGATACAGGAAAACTCCACAGGCTCTGCTGCAGATGCTCAGCTGGCAAGCTGCATATGATACTAGCAGTGATTTCTGATTCTAAAGAAAATGTGAATCTTCTTCCCTGCTTCTATTTCAGAAATAGAGACAAATAGTCTTTAAGAGGCTGAACACTTTTGTGAGAAGCTTGTGCAGCTCCTGTTGATATACAAATCAATAAGCATAATTTGTATTTTAAGAGTGAAGATTTCCTCCATGTGGTAGTTTCAGAGGAAACACAGTTTTGATATCTGAGACCAATGTCTAGATTTATGAAATATCCCTGCTGACTTGAAAGAGAGCTGCAGAAAGGATGTGTCCCTTGTCTTCATCACCCTTGCAGCTTGTCTGACACAATGTGCGCTGCTTATGTGAGAGTCCTCTGAGGAAAAAGAGATGTGAAAGGCTAGAGGTTGTCTTGAAATGCTTACTAAATTCACTGTTTAACAGCAACTGAAAGTCTATAGGAGTTCACAGATTACAAGAGTGATAATTAAGCATAATACCAGAACAGTCAGGTAGATGATCTGTTTGCAATTTGGAGAAAACCCCTGCACATCTCAGTTTTGTGAATTTATGGTCATAGCTATTGCATCAATGTAGTACATTTTTTCTAGAGCCCAGCAAAAGCTATACTGCAAAAAACATTATTTTTTGTATATTTTCCACAACGTGCCGCTCAATAATTCTGTGTCTCCTGTTTCCCAGTAACTGAATGTAGAATCCCCGGTTATGATGGTCTTTGCATAGCCTGAATGGTTTGTTTTTTGTGAGAGAAATAACCTTGTTATTCCATAATTCTAGAATTAGTTTATAGTTAATTTATTTGCTTGCATATTGATGGTCATGTGTGGGAGAATTACTGAGCTAAGCTTAGAAAATGGGCTTTGCTTTTTGTTTTGGCAATAAGATGGTCTCTATTCTTGGTGGGGAAGTGAGTTTCAAGACTTGGCTCTATGATCTGTGAAAGTTAGTCTTTGCATGCTTGAGTCCTTTTGAGTGTGAGCCTCTGGTAGGGTGCAGTTGTTACAGAATGTCACAGAGCAGGAGTTGGTCTCCTCAGAATTAGTGCAGTGGGGAGCTTGTCAGCACAATGGACTGAGATGCATCTTTGTCCCAAAGCTCTGCATCTGCAACCCTCATCGGCCTCTTGCAGAAGAGAAGCCCAAATGCTCAGTATTGCTTCCTGAACGCCAGGGACGTAGAGTAAGATTCACAGCAGGGAGTGCTTGGATCATTTATAGGAAGATGCATGCCCATCCAAATGGTTTCCAAAAACATTTTGACTAGCATAAAAATCAGTATGAATCGAGACTGTTCCCTGGCAATTCCTGAACTGGAAACGGATATGATTTACCAGATTAATAATTTGCTGTGAATGGTTTGTTCATCTGTACTCCAGTGTTTTCTAAGCAGTTGTTTATTTTGACAAATTACCAGGTAACAGGTTTATCCAGGCTGTGGTTTGAAACAAAGGTCCTGTCTTCCTTTGCTGTGGATTCAGCCTGCTGAGCTGAGTGACGCTAGTGTCCCTGAGCTTGTCTGGAAATGAATAGGCTTAGATATAAGCAATCTGTGATTAAAACATGGTATCACTCTGTCTCATTCAACTATTTTCTTTTAATTTTTCAAATTGAATACCATCTTTTGCTAGTAGTGACTGCAGTGCTGAGTAGGCTCCACAGTCACTCTGCCAGTGGTCTGCTTAAAGCACTGTAACAGATAGGGCAGGCTGAGCAGCCTGTGTGCATAACAATAGACTTGCTAGTTACTCAGTGGAAAAAATTGCCAGAAGGGACTATAAAAGATTATTGCTGTTCAAGAAGCTTTCTCTGGGGAGGTTTATTCTACCTGTTTTGGTATGATTAGCCTGTGCCAGGGGGCAAGCTGTGGACTTTGTGGTGTGCCTTGTTCACCTTCCTTAGGCTCCCTCAGGAGAGGCATGCCTGCTGGATTGGCAGACTTGCGTCCTGTGCTAGATTTGTGGTTGTGTGCATCCCTCTCTGCTGACAGCACAGCTCTGTGAAATTTAAGAATTCTGGTTTGGGTGTAGGAATGACATGGTCCTTTTACATGCTTATGCCTTGAAGCGGGAGGTCACTAGGATATTAAAATAGGCTCTACAACTGATTTTCTCATGTTTAAGGAGAGATTTTTTTTATTTCCCTATAGGATCAGTACCTCCTCATAACAAACAGCCTATGCTTCCACTATAAGAATAAAACTTTATTTTCTGAGATGTATGTAGGTTACTGATATATTATGAAGATATTCTGCTTGTGCTGCTCACTTATGAAGGCAAAGCTTGTAACACAGATTTGCTTATATTGAGGCATGGTGTTTTCAGCCTTTTGGGAATATGACTTGGATCTTCCAATTTGGAAAAGATAGATGATCAACACTGACACACAAAGAAATAAATGCTCCTTAGCGGGAAGTAGAGCTACTTGATAATGTCTCACCAGGTTTTGTAGTATTGATGCTGTGCAAGCTGTTATTTCATGTTTAAAGGTACTGGAATCCAACCCATTGTTACTAATTTAGAAGGGCAAGATTTATCTAGGTATGACTCAGTAAGACAAATCACCCCTCTTATTACCCATCTCTAGCACCCTGTAATAGTGCCTCTTTCTTTCTTTCCTTTGACTAATAGGAGTCTGTTACCCTTTAAATGACTAACTAAATAGCATTGAAATCAGGTGAGATTAATCTTACTGTAAGAACGGTTATCAGCTTGTACTAATGTGTGCATGCTAATTACACAGTATGAAATTCTTATAAAGAAATATGGTAGTATCAATTTTTTTTCAGATGAAGTGAGCGTCATGTCATGACTATTAGTCTAGTTTATGATGATACAGTAGAAAGAAGTTTAATTTTTCAACTTAATGACGAGTGTTTTAAGAATGCTGTATTTGTGGAAATGTTCTATTCTGTTGAAGTTACTCTGTGTGGGAGAAAGTTTAGGGTTTTTTTTAGGGCTTTTGATAAAAAATGGAACATACTTCATTTTCATAAAACATTCCTGTATGACACAAAATACCTTTTTTAATGAGTAGTCATATACACTTTCATGTGTCACAGAGTTTTCATTGTTAATACAGAAAAGCTGGTTACAGGAGTGTTTGATTGGTCTGTTTAGCTGAACTTGGTGTCTCCAAATTCTGTGTAAGTGATTGTAAGGGATAACAGTTATCATTTCAGCTAGGCAGGAGGGGGGAAATGGAATTAGGAGAGTAACTTTTCTCTGGTCATGATGTAATTTGTTGGTTTTTTTCCCCTTTATCAGTTCTTGAAACCTACTTAGTAGTTTTCTGTTTTGCAACCAGTATGAAAAACAAGGCAATTTGTTGTTAAGCTTCATGTGAGCTTGTATTGTAAAGTAGACTTGTAAATGTATATAGACATATATATTTATAATAATGTAAACATTCATGAGACTTAAGGTGGTCTCAGCTGATATGTTGGAAGAATTGGCAAATCAAATGTCTTCAAAACAGATCTGGCAAAATGTCAGTGCTGCTTTTTTTTTCTTAAATAGGAACATTTTTGTAAATGTTTTTGCTTTTCTATGAGCCCAATTTCAAAGAGTATAAAGATGAGAATCTCAGATTTTGTGAGGAACGCAGCTTTCACACAGTTTTTCAGATACCTGTCTTTTTGATTTATGTGATAGCCCAGCTTAATAAAAACTCTTATGTTAGTTCTTAAAGTGAGTTTCTTTCCATTTACACAAAATAGATAGCACCTCATTCCTTTTTCTAAATAAAATATGTCCCCCCCCCCAATTTCTAATGAGATAGTGTAGCAAGCCACACAGCTTTCAGAAATATTTGTTTCTTAAAGGCATCTTTTTTGAACATATTACTACTAACAAAACCCAAATCTCTTTGCCAGCGGTTGGCCTCAGTGTTGTGGCTGTTTACTATCAAGGACAAGCAATATGGTGGCTACCAGGTGCTACGCTGATCATTTAGGCTTTGAATCTTTTCCTTTGTATTTTCTCCCTGATTACTGTCATCCCAGAGAAGAGCTTTGCCAACAGTTCTTCTATTATGACTAAGAAGACAGGCACATTAAGGAAAGAAACTTGAATTCCAACATTGCAGCTTACTTCCCCAGAACAACGCAAATATGGGATGCATTTACACACTCGGGCTGGAGGCACAGGCAGCAGCCCACTTTTAAATTCTCCCTTGTAAGGCGCAGACCAGGGAGTGAACATAAACAAGGGAAATAAAATGGCGGAAGGAAAGAGAGTAGGAGAAAAAGAGATTGAAAGAGAGATAAACCAGCAGTATGAGATAAAAATTGGCCAGAGCAAGCTATTGTAAAGCTGGGACTGGGAAGAGGCTTCAAAGTTGCAGATTTGCCAGTAAGCACCAATGGTGAATAAGAAGGGGTCTACCAAAAAGCTGAGAATAGAGATCATGCACCTGAGAAGCTACTGGTCTTAGAAATAACCACCTTTCATCTGATTTGATTTTTACCACTTTCAATTGATCCATAGCCAGAACTGCAATTAAGCTTCAATATATTTTATAAAAAATAGTACTTAGTTTACTTTCACATAAGTGAAGAGATACAATTGCACAATGGTGGTTACAATGGTAGAAATACATACTGTTGATAAAATGTTTGCAAGAGATTTAAAAACATACTGTACAGCACCACATCTGAAACTGGGTGATGGCAAAATGAATCATACTTCATGTCCAAGTAAGTTAAATTCCTAAATCTTTCTTTTGGAATAAATAAAAAAATACAATGTGCAATATGTGTCTGACACTACCAAAATGTTTCCTGAAGTTGAGCAATAGATTAAAAACAAAAATGAGGTAAAAAAAGACATTCATGCATTTAAGCCACCATTAGTCTCTGACTCTAAAATAAGGCAGATCATAATCTTTTAAAAACTGTCTCTAGCCACTTAAATCCTCTTTAGTGCTTTTCAAGACAAGGTCTTCACAGACCTTGTAGAATCATGAATTAAGATGCTTTTATTTCCAACAGGTCATTTTTGACAGGCTCAGCCATGTTTGAAATGCATTATATGGTAGAAAATGTTGCTTTTCCTTAATGAAAAAAGAAATGTAAATTAAAAGGAACTGAGAGAGGTGGATGCTTTTAGAGTTTATCACAAATGACACAGCTTTGAGGGAGGGAGGTGAGGGAAAGGGAAGGGCAAGAAAATTATGTGTCATCTTCAGTTTTAATGACGTGGAAAAGGGTGACGTTAAACAGGACTTGATGTCCGTTATTCCAGGCATAGAGAGCTCTATCTCTTGCATTGTAGTCAAGCATGGATATGTGAAAATACTGATTATGGAAAGGAATGTCTGTATACTCATAAGTGGAGGTTTTTGTGGAATAAGAATAGTAGACCTTGGCTCCTGTTAAGTGAGAGTTAGTAACATACAAGGTGCCACAGATCATGAAGGATTCTCCAGCACTTCTCTTTGGGTAGCCTGTGCTCCAGCTCTTCAGCACCTCCAGTGTATCCTGGTTTAGCTGGCTGATGACAATGTTGCCTGCATTCTGGTTGGTGGCATACACCGCCCATAGCCCAATTTCATCTGCCATCAGGTCAATATCAGAAAAGCCACCCCAGGTGTAAGGGTAGACATTGTGAAAGCCAGCATACTCAAGGCTACGCTGTGCAAGCACCCGCCCAGTGTCAAAGCTGTATTTGATGATGATGTTGCTCTGATACTTGTTGAAATAGAGGGAGCCATTGTAGACAACATGGTTGGTTCCTGCCCATTTGAATGGAAGGTTGTATGTCCTTGATTCAGCCCCACTGACAAAGTCTGCAATTGATTTATATTCACGGACAATTTTATTGTTAGTGTAACTATCCATGTACCAGACCTGGAAAGAAAACAAAGATCGGGAGTAAACACCTGGAGCACAATCTGGGGTACATGATCATGAAATGGCATGATGAATACATTGCAGAAAAAGAAGGCAAAGAAAGGCTCTAGATGTGCAGCAGTCAATCAAAGTACAATATTGTCCACATTCCTGTTGCAAAAGCATGAGGAACTCTTGAATTTCAGAGTCAAAACTTACCTACACAGGTGAACTCTCAAGATGACAGTTACTAACTACAGTGTCTGCATTTTTAGAGAAATTAAATTTTGGATTATTCAATGTTTGGGTCTCTGCTATATGAGGCTTGCTTAAAGATATTCCCAGAGACTAATAATCCAAGAGAGAGATGGGAAATGGCACGTGAGCTAAGCTTGGATTTATGCTTGGGAATAAATGTGGTTGAATTTTCTTCAGCTGAACCTCTAATTGGTGAAAAATTGTGTATTTGTAGTAAAGAAACCAAATACAATAGCAATGAAACCAGTAAAGTTTAGGAACGATTTTCCCCCCTTAAAACAAATGAAAACAAAATCAATACTTTTTTAAAATGTTCTGTATGCCAACTTCCATTCCCCCATTTTTTCCTTCATGCATTTTGCCTTTTCTCCTTTTAGTTTGTCAGAGGACAAATCAAATCCCAACTAACAAAATAACAGAATAATTTCTGGAGGTAATTTTTGTGCCGATTAAAAAACTGGCATTAAAATATTTGTTGACATGCCAGTTCAGCTCCCCATCTTCCCATTAGCTGAAATGCTGGGAGGGATATGGTTTGTTCTCATTTGCACACCCACGGGCAGTCTTTGTGTTGCTTTAAGAGGGTGGCAGTGGGGGAAGGCGGAGGCTGGCTGGGGAGGGGGCCACGCTGGGCAGCAGGCACGGGGCCCCCTGGGGATGGTTCTGGAGCAGCCACTGGTGCTCTGAGATGGTGGAAGAAACTTCCTCAGGGCAAGATGGGGCTGAGCAGCATTTGCTGCTGTCCTAAAAGTAATTGAGATTCCTGGGGTCAGTAGTAAACCTGCATGGACACAGCAGGCAGGGGAGAGCAGCACGTAAATCTTTAGTTATTACCATTTGTATGATGCCTTTTCTATTACCTTTGTTTTTTTCTGTATTCAAAAAGTTAACCTGGTGAATCTCATACAAATGAAACCTAGTGTTTTGACTTCAAAAGCCCTTGGATGGAGAGAACACCTCATCAAAACTGTGGCCAATTTGAGATCCTAATGTAGATCCAAATGATAACATAACTTGGATCTGAGGTAGTGACTGGTCTGAATACAGCTTCTGTGGGGCCTAATTCTGCAAATTCTGACTGGGCTACATTATGGGTTATGCTTTTGGGTAAAAGTGTTGATGTTTGTGTTCTATTGCTTGGGTTCTCAAAGACCCAAGCTTAGTTAAAGATGGCAAGAAGAAAAAGTGGTGTAATTGGTTCATGTCATCTCTGAAACAGTTGAAGGAAATGGCACAAAGGTGCTTAGCTAACTTCTGTCTTTGTATATTTTTGCACCAACACTGTTTTTTTTTTTTTTTTTTTTTCTGAAGTTGTTTAACAGTGAAAATGATGGAAGTAGAAGAAATGTGTTTGTGAGTGCAACCTCCTAGGGGGAAAATGTCTTTTAAAAGATTAAAATAAAGCAAGTAAAACTCCAGAAGGACACAAAGATATTCAGTGCCTTAACATACTCGGTTATTTTTCTCTGATGCTAATGGATCTGTCATCCAGGCTCCAAATCGGGTTCCAGATATCTTGACTGTAATGGGGCCTGTAATTTTCATCAGTTTGCCACATGCTGAAATTAGAAAAACAAATGCATTAATGCAAATAATTACACAACTCTCCTTGACATCAGTCAGAGCACAAGACCAATTGCTCTAAACTAAATAGTGGCTCCAGGGGATTCAGGCTTATGTTGAAGATGGATTGTCATCTTCATCATATGAACTTTTCCGTATTGAGCAATAATATAAGTATGTAAAAATATACAAATAAATACTGCTGTATATTTTTGGTTTTATGTATTTTAAAGCACAGTTACATTATCTAGTCATAAAGAAAAAAACAACCTAGTAAAATATCTTCTCAGCTGAAGTGAATAACATTTAATAATAAATGAAAAGAAGACATAAACCCCCCTCACTTTTGCCTTCGGAAAGTTCAGTGCAAGGCTAGGATTGATGGATATTTCAGTTTTCCGTTTATCAGGGTAACAAGGAGGTTAAGGCAGCCAGGAAGAAATGAGCTTGTACACAAAACGTTTAGGTGTAAATAAATGCTTGTGTCTGACTGCCCTGTGGTTACACACACCTAGCTGTTCCAGAACTAGGGGCCTGTCTGAAGTTGAGAAAGCAAGTATGGGAATTATTCAGCAACCTTGGCTGTATCGGTTGGCTTCTAATCTATTGGGCTGTTTCACATTAGACTGTCTGGGAGAAAATAATGAGAGTCAATATGATCTTGGATGCTGACCTTCCTAACAATCCAAAAATCTATATTTTAGGGGACATTAATAACATACCTATTAGAAACAAGCCCCTGGTGGAATTCATATGTTTACCAAGAGGCTTCTTACCACACAGTGCTATGTAGATGATGAGGTAAAATAGCATGCTTTTGAAGAAAAGATGTTCCATAAGAATGTAAAAAGAAATTACACAGTTTTTTGTTTTTTTTTTTTTTAATTTAAAAGTAATTGTTTCTCCGTGATACACGGTTGTGCTGTGGAAAACAAACTGTATCTGGTGTTGAGACTGTATTTATTCAGTTCAAAAGAGAAGGTCACATCACACCTGGATTTTCTATTTTATGTAACTGGAAAGGAATGTATTGTACAAGCCTGTTTCAATCAATTAGAAGGGGGTTAATGTTGTGGTGACAACTTGGGAGCTGCTTACGGGGATTTTGTTCACAGCCAGGGAAGTGGGGTGTAATGAAAGTGAAGATAACTGATTACATGCTGAGACCTCAATGAGCAGGGTAGGCTGTGTCTATTTTCTGAGTCAATTCAAAGGCATAATTATTATTTACATATCTCAATCTATGTATCTTACAATCTTTTGAAGATATTTTGGAATTTCCCATTTTAAAGAATCTTAAAGGTTTTCTACAGTTGCTTATCATAATACATAATTTTTTATTCTGAATTTTCTTGTAAATGGGCCGCTAGCATTGTGTTCTACAGTAATGAACTGCTATTAGCTTGAAAAGTAGAGGACTATATCCTATTAAGGTGAAGGCTTTTATTTTTAGGTGGTATGTTAGTAAATTGTCTCAGAAATGGGCACAAGGTAAACTCAAACCTTCAGAGGGGTTTAATTTGGAATAAAATTATCAGAAAAGTAATAAAGAGTGGAAAGAAGTCAGGAAAAAAATATTTACTCCTGAATTTGTTGTTTTTAATATAATTAAAATACAGTGAATGTGTGAGTTAAAGGGTATACTAACTGGTGCCTTTAAAACACAGTATTGAAATTGGTAGGAAAAGATAAGCAAATAATTTGGAATTTTGAAACACTGTTTCTCCTATTTAAAAAAAATATATGGGAAGCTAAATGTGGAATCAAAAATGCGCCGTGAAATTTCACTTCTGAACAGACAAAACTTAAAGAAGAGTCTGTGGCAGAGACGTGGGGGTGCTCACAGAGCGCACCTTTTGGACGCGACCTGGGTGACGCTGTGTGCTGGGGCAGGCACGGGCGGGGGCACGGGGCGAGGTGAATTTGCAGGGCTGTCCGCTGGCAGGGCGGCCGCGCCGCGGGCCCCGTGAGCCGGCAGCGCTCGGCGAGCGGAGGCGGAGGACGGGCCGGCGGCCGGGTCCCCCCGCCGGGCCGGTGCGTGGGAGCTCCCGGGCTGCCTCGCCGGGCTGCGTGCTACAGGCCGTGGGGAGCACCACGGGCACCGTCAGCCTCGAGGCCCCGCATCTCCAGCAGGAGAGGTGTAAAAGTAGTGTGCCTGTAGCCCGTGCCGGCTGTTGTGGGGGTGTGCGCACGTAGCTCCAGCGGTGTTTGTGCACGTGGCGCGCCGTGTGTGACTGCAGCTTTTTGATTCTACCTAGAGAAGGGTGTTCAGAAACTTGTAGGTTTATAAATGTTTCTTAAGTGTCTAGTCCTGCGGTTCATCTGCTGTATTACTTGTATTGATCCTGAACGTACAGTTCATTGACTACCAGCTAATTACTTGTTGTTAGTAATTAATAAACCTCTTCTGTCTTGATTTGGTTTAATCTACATGAACTGAGCTGCTTTCCCCTGTGATGGGAGTCAGAAGCTTTTACAGAATGATCTTTCAAAATTTATTGAGGTACTGTTGTTCAGTGTGAAAAAAGAGATGACATTGTACTTCAGCCACCAAATGATCAGCGGTTCGAGTCGGGGTATATTTATGTGATTAAGTTTTTATTCCCAGATAGCATGTAGTGATCAAGAAAGGAAGACGCTTAGGATAGTTTCTGTATCGCTGTGGGGCGGCTGACTGAAAAAGAGACAAAGCTTCTCTTTTCAGCATAATAAACCAGAGCATTTTGCAAGAGGCATGAAGATTTCTTTTTTCTTCTGCCCTATAGGATGTTCCATCTTTTCTTTTCCTTGTTCATTACACAGGAACCCATAAATCTGTCTATTTGTGATATAACTTGAGGGAACTGGTATTTAAAACTGAGGAGTGATACCACAAGTATTTTTTCCACATATGGTAAGCCATTCCCACTGTAGTGATTATTCATATCCCATCAGCAGGTTTCTACTGCAAACCTCAGCAGTACCTGAGGTCTGTTGGCCTACTTGCTGACAGTGTGGGCAGTCAGAAGGAAGCAGCAGAGTTGTCAGTGCCCACTTCTGTCTTGTCATCACAGCCTCTTTAGAGTTGTCAGATCCTTAGGCACAGGAGCTTAATATACGAAGTCTCCACCGAAATTCTGGTCATGTAAGTCTAGTACCCTGCTATTGCAGACATCCATTTTATAAAATTATTAACATGGTTTTAAAAATGGGGCAATATTGTTTGCACTTCCCTACTCTCACCCTTACTCCAACTGGAGATTGTTTTAGAATCTCACTCGTCTGTTAATTTGAAAAATGTTCAGGGCCAGGTACATGGGTGTCATTGCTTCCAGACACATGCAGACTGGAACCCCTTATCAGTAAGTCCTCTTAGTTCAGAAGAACTGCTTGAAAGAACAGGCCAGGGCCCCAGAGCAAGTCTTGGCTGAACAGTCAACTTGATAAACCAGCTCGTGCTGTTTTGAACTGTTTAAGGCTGCACAAGTAACTTTTGGAGAAGTAAATTGTCCTAAGTATTCCACAAACCAACTGTCTTGCTAAATACTGGTCTTGTGATTACATTGAACCTATTGCTGACTGATGATGCAGGGAATTATGAGATTAGGAAAAGTAATTGAGGCCAAATTGTCCTCCCCTTCTCATAGAATTCCCTCTGAAATTCAGATCGCGCTTTATTCTGTCAAACCTTTAGACAGTCCTCTGATGCAGTGTTGCTTCCAATATTTGATCAGAAGTTAAGAGAATCAAGTGAATGCAATTAAGAAAACAGTAAAACTAATTTCTCATTCTTCAATAGAAAGCTATTGTTGTTTTCTTTTCTCCGGTTCTGTCTTTTGGAGCCCTACCTTCAAATGCATCTACACATTCATTACAGCAGACCTATAAAAATTGGCAGAATTGGGATCATTTATGTTTTGTTCATTATAAAGTAGCAAGTGTGCTGTCTGTGCTGAAGTATTATTGACTAATACAATTAAATAATTTATTCCAGATGAATATCACAGCATTTTGATGACATGTTAATACAATATGCAGTTTATTAACCTGTTTAACACTAAAATAATTAGCAATACTGATTCTATAAAGATAAATTCCCTTATAGCTTCCCCAAGCCTGATCTTGCATTTGATACAGAAGTTAAATGAATGACAACTCTTTCAATGGTAAAGCTCAATATAATGTTTAGCAGTTCACTGACAAAACAAGTTGAGTTTTCTGTGTGGTTGTAAGCACTTCCAGCTTTTCATTCAGTGCAAGAAATTCTCCTCACACCTCCACCAGAATTGGAAACAGATTTTTCTTGTCTTCTTCAGTGTAAAATGTGTTGATCTAATCCCAGCCTATATTCTGAGCCACACAATGAACCTTACAATTGTTCATGTGGCTATATTAAAGTTGATTTTACATGCTGAGGTTTCTTGCTAGGGAATGGTGATACTAATATACTGAAAGGCAGGATCATTTATTTAACACTTTTGTGGCATGGCAAGTCTGGGAGTCTGAAACTTTAAAAATTCCACTTAGTTTCCAGTTGAGACTTTTCTTTAGCTCATTTTGTATGTAGGGAAATAGAACATAGACAAATGTCATGTGAAATGGGAAACACTTCTGGGTTATGAATTTTCCACAGCAGTAGAGGGGGCTGAGAATTAGAACTGGCTGATGCATTTCTTTTTTTTTTTCTTAACATGGCCAACAACTCCTTTTTATCCCTTTTCTTTTTTTTTTTTTTTTTTTTTTTTCTTTTTTTTTTTTTTCTGATAGAAAGGGACATATGAGGATGTGGAAATAACTCTTGTGATGGTGGGAAAGTGTTTTTTACTGATTTAAAAGTTTTGGTTTATAGCAAACCCTGGCTCTTTAATTCCCTGACAGGAGAAGAACCAGATACTACTGAGAAGGTAGGTCAAATACACCCCCATACTAGCAAATGTCAGGAAGTTCAGGAACACTAAGAAAAAAGAAAAAAAGTGATATTTCTGGGCATTTTTTTTCCACCACTGAGACGTTCAGGTAGGATTACACAGAAAAAGCGAAAGGATTTTTAGAAGCACTCAGACTCTGTCCCTTGACTTTGAAAGAAGCAGGCTACCTGCATTAGAAAATCCCAACCATAACTGATTGTAGCAATTGGAAAATCAAACCTCTGAGTGTTTATCCATCCTAAATTGAACTGTACAAGGAACATCACATCATGCACAATCTGGGTGTTTATGCCTTGATTCATCTCTTGTAACAGTTTTGTACTGTGGACTCCAGTAATCTGTTTGTGGTTTCCTGTGTTTATTTATAGTAAAGAAGAAGTTGAGCATGAAGTGAAATAACATTAAAAAATAAGGTAGATGTACTACCCCTGTAGGCTGGAAAGGTCTGTAGGGCAGAATGCATCTGGAAAGCTGCTCCAAAGAGAGCAAATACCAGGAGAAGTTTGTGACAGACCAATTGGACAGGAGCTGTTTTAAAGATAGCTAGGAATAGGTTGTTGACAGTCCCAGTCTCTGTGATGAAAATGAATATTGGTAGCTGTTATATGTACCAAGTGAGTGTATGATATATAAAAGGACTTGCAAGGGAAATAAAATGAAAACATTCTCTTGAAGTGTTCATTAGCATCATTATTCTATTTACTGGAGGTAATAAATAGGGGAAAATTAAGTGAGTTTTTTTCAGTGGTTGCACAAATTACTTCCCAGTGTTTTACTACTTGTACTTTTCTGCTTACTGTCAAATTTGTCATGACTTTGTAAGGTGAGGGAATGAAGAATTAGTTCTTATTTAATGGGTGTATGTCTGTTGTGCTGCATAATAGAAATCCAGGAAGCGCTACAGTCTAGTCATCAGAGCTTGCTGAAAGGAAGCCTCTGGATTCTTCTGCATGTGTGCAATGACTTGCTGTGTAATCTTTGGGAAAGTAATTTATCCTCCTGGGCTGCTTGTTCCTTCATCTACAAAATGGGGGATAACAATATATATCTCCATTGCACAGTTTTGTACTAAATGATATTTGTAAAGTTCTTCAAATCCCAAAGGGAAGGATGATTTGGAAGTACAAGTACCACTGCAATCAATAAAGTAATCTTATGCCTGCACTAATTAATACCTCTTCTGCCACTGATTTAACAGCATTTCTTTGGATACCTAAAATATTCTACTTTTGAATTTGCAGCTAAAAATGTTACTTTAAAATATTGTTTAGATTCTACATTTTTATAGAGGTAGCTACAAATGAATTTAATATGCATTTACTTCAATTATTTCTTCATATTTCATAAGGAACATTTGACAGAGTGTTGGCTTCTATGAATGCTACCCATACAATTTTTTTCCAATTTCATAAATGCATTATGACAAGAACAGGAGGGTCCCAAGCATACTGTGCAACCTGCATTCTCTTAGAAATGCACATGCCTTACGTGACTGCCAGCAAAGGACTCATACGTACATAAGTGTAAGTGAATTTGTGGTGTATGCAATCATATGCACTCTTTTCCTACATGTTTAATTGCATGAACCCTTTTAAAGTTTTGTGGACAGATTTCTCAGCAGCTTCAGCCTGAATTTTCTCTTGTTCCAAAGAGAAGGAGCAAGTCTGAGTCAACACAATTGCTGTGGTTATCATTAAACCTCAGTGAAAGTAAGACAACTGCTTACTGTATGTTAATAAGCATTGAAAGTGTTGCCAGTGCAGATGGAAGATCCCTTTTTATGTGGCCAGGACAATATAAATAATGCATTATATTGCTGAAAACACCTGCTAGGGAAAAGAATGGAAAATAGCTATTACACATGCTGGTTGGATAATTATATTGTGAAATCCACAAGATCTGTGGATTCAAGCCAGATCTTGTGGCACACTGGGGCCAGTCTGCCTTCTGGTGCCACAGGCTTCTGGCTACCAGATTGGCATGGACAGTCGCAGCTGGATCATCTCCAGTGTGGTGAATGTGGCTGGGGAGAAGGTGTATGCATGAAAGCTATTTTTCCTTTATGCTCACTGAGCTGAAGACACAGTACCAGCTTTCAGGAGTTACACACAGGAAGCCTAACAGAAGCTGTTTTTACTTTAAAAGGCACACAGGGGTAGGCCAAAAATACAGGTAGTCCATTAGTAGGTAAGCATAAAAGTCAATTAAGCATCTAAGACCAGGGAATAATGCCAATAAGGATGAATAAATCTGTATTAGAGTTTGAGAAGGCCAAACCCCTTTTAATAATGGATGTGCTTAATAATCTATTTCATATAAAAATGTTCTCTTTATTGTTAATATACATACTTTTAATAAGGATGTTTTTACATTAGTACATCAAGAGAAATAGAATGTGTTGCAGGAATTCAGGGTAGGTAGGAGGGGAAATTGACTGAAAAATAGGGAAACAACCCCTGCAAATACACGTAGTCATTCTGATGTATAAAATGTATCTTATACTATAGTCACTTCACTAATCAATGTTCCAAGAATATGCAAAGCAAAGAAAAACAAGATACTAATTAAAGATAAGATGATGATCTTTTGGTGTATAATAAACCTACTGGAACACCCATTATCAGATAAGACTGCCTATTTATATGAATTTTCTTGCTTGCTGTGGTATTGCAATGCAGCCATTTTCTCCTGACTGCTTCCTGTCAATGAAGTAATGTGCTATTATGTGTGTGTACTGAGGGGAAAACAGGATCATAGGAAATCTCTGTTTGAATAAGCCTTTCTTGTATTTTAGCTCATCATAACTGTGTTATTTCTAGTGTAAAATAAAGAAACTGAAAATAAATAATTTAAGATGCTAACCTATCCTAGATTTTTCTCATTCCATGGCCTCGGAAAAATAAAGAGGCATTGCTTATAAAGTTAATAGCATATTTCATGTCATGTGTAGCATTTAAAAGTAAACAATCCACACTTGATAACTGAGATACTGATCGCAGGACTGGACCTTGGAATTTCTAGTTTATCCATGTTCAGTGGAAACTTACAAAGCATTTATTTCTCATAGAGGGGCTGGACTGTTGGATGTAGCGATCCAGATTGCAATAGTGATCCATTCAGGAGTCTCAGAATGCATGGATAGGCTGGGGAGGGGGGAGACTGCATTGTGATTGTAAAGTGGGTAGGTACTAGTTATCCCTCTTTGGGTAACGGAAGTTAAGGCCGACACTTGATAATGATAGTTTAGGCTTTTAGTTTTGGTAGCTGATACTGAACTAGCGCTGATTTTCAGAGATGCTCAACATTTGACTTTTTCTAACTAATGCCAGCATGTGAGCAACCAAGATGGAGACTGCCTGATGTAAATGTAGTGCACTGCTCATGGTGGATTGTTGCTGTGCTTACAAAAAAAATCATGCTTCGTTCCCTTAAATTTAGTACAATGCTAATTGTGTTGTATTGCAAATTGGAGAATGACACATCTCTCTTATCACTAATATTACAGGACTAAAGACGGTACAGTCGGAGTGGCCTCTCAGGTGTCACAGCAAGATGACAGGGTTATGTTGTGAACATCTTGAAACTGGTTCTAGTCTATTCCCGCTAAATTTTTTTTCACACTGACCTCCCAATGATGACCCAAGTAGCAATGCTTCTCTCAGCTTTTTTGAAAGAATATTTGTAGCTCTCCAACCAGTTGTAATTCTCTTAGATTTTAAAGTTGCTGTCTGCTACAATTTTCCATCTTAATTCCTTCTGATTACAGTAAGGCAGATCATTATATAAGATACACTGGTGCAAACTTAGAATGATCTGACTGACCTTAGGTTGAGTTACTGTTGACTTTTATTAGGGTAGCACAGATCAAAATATAATGCAGTCTTCCATCAAACAAGAAAAAAGAAAATGTAATCTTTCTATAGAGAGACAACTGAAAATATACAGCTGAGGCACCAAATTTGCCATGAAATTGTTAACTTACTGAGCTTTTTCATGCAGTCTCGAAGCCTGGTTTCTAAACTGAGTACACGCTGGTGTAGTTCCTCATAGTCATAAGCACCAATTTCTTCCTGAATCCCAGTGAGGACAGTAGACAGATTCCTAATTTCCTCCTTGAACTGGGTGATTAATTTGGCATCAGTTTTGTATTGTTCCAGAACTGGGATCAGTGGCAGGAGCTCATCCATCTTTTCTTTCAACTCCTGTTAAAGACAATCAAATGTGCATTAGAGCAGTTTAACGGAGTTCAATCCCCTAATTCCCTTTATTGAAATATTTATGCCTGATTATTAAAATGACTTGAAAATGGTTATTGATTTTAATTACAGATCTGTTATTAGTGTAGTGCAAAAGTCTTAGAAACATCAGTCTTAATGGTAGTAACCAGTAGATAAAATGCACAAGAGAATAGTTTTTCTACTGAAAGTACACCATTACCTTCAAGTGATCTGAACCAAACCTGTTGAAGGTCTGACTTCCAGAGGATGTAAACCCCTGCTAACAGTGTCTGCCTCGAGAGCTGGTGATTGGGCCTGAACACACAGTGACGTTCAAGGAGGTCATACCTGTTTTACAATACTGTAATAGTTGGTGAGCTGTTAATTTCTATTTAACTCTTTAGAAATACTGAATTAATTTTTTCTCAATGGCTGTTGAGCACTATTTAGTTCTGTTCCAGCCACAGAGATATATAACACTTTCTTCTGAAGTAAAAACTCCATGATTCTTAACTGTACTTTGTATTTGTCATCCTGCTACATCACTAGGTGATTTTGAAATTCCTCAGTTGATTTCTCTTGTGGACTATCACAAATAATTTTTTTGCCACGTGCAGTTGTTGTCGCATTGCCGATCCTAGCCTTAAACCTTGATTAAATAAAATAAGACACCACTTTGGAATCTCAGATTGCCCTTCTCAGACTTTTGCTGAGTCTCGTACTTTGCAAATTTGTCTCAGTTTGTAACCTATATTGGCTGCTCATCTTTCATTTAATTATTCTTTTAAATGCACTAATCATAGGGGCTTTATTAAATTTAAACTAATTGTTTGAGGTTGTTTTTTGTTTGGTTATTATTCTGTAGAAAACCTCAAAGAATCCTTGCAGTCAAAAGGTTTTGTTTTATTGAAAAGCAGACGGGTTTGTCCCTGATGTATCATCTGTATATGGAGATTTACATATCTTTTTATAATTTAAGGAAACAGCAGGACTTCCATGAGCAAATGTCAGAGAGACATGGGGAGATGCAAGCCTAAAGAAAACAAGGCAAAGGATGGAAATAAAGATTTGTTAGGTACTAGCAATGGGTGGTAATAGAGATTGGGAACACATGAAAACACAGAGGGAGAGCCTATTGAAGGGGTTAAAAAATAAAATCCTGAAGAATAGCTGGAGTAGTCAGCAGGTTAAAAGGGAAAGCAGAAGAGAACTAAATGAAAGTGCAAGCCCAAGAAAGAAGTGCCAAAGCAAATGTGAAATACAAGTTAGTGTAGTCACTGAGGTGGGCAAAGACACACATGTAGAGTTGTTGCATCACTAGTATTAAAGGATGCAATAAACAGGGTGGGACATTTCCAATATAAGATGCCAAATGCATTTTTGCTAAGGAGATGTGAAAGAAGCTGATAGGCAGGGTCAGCATTTGAGCTGCTTGAAGATCTACCTCTGAATTTTCGTCTCTTGAACATGTTCTAAAACAGTTTGAGAATTCTGCAGTATCTCTTCATCGCCTAGCTAATATATGCATATTGTTTTAACAATTGCTTTCATACTGGAATTATTATTTACTCAAAATAAAGATTTATATATGTTGTTAGGAAGTGTATTTTGCACATAGTTCATCTTAATAGCTAGAAAATTGCATTTTAAATTATAAGCAGATATGTCATTATAAAGGAATTTGTGAGTATTAGAAGTTTTATTGGTTCTATTCTCAAGGGGTCCTCCAATTACATTATAGTAGCAGAATTACTGAAATGGACAGAAAGAAGTGGAGAGTCCTTTTGTCTACAGTTAAAGCTATTTTTATTTGACTGTTTTGCTTAAAAACTTAACTTAAGCCTACTTTATTCCTGTTAAAATAAATAGTTATTTTTAACTTGATGACAATGAGAATAAGCTGTGTGACGTAGAAAGCAGAGCTCCAGAAGCCAAAGTTTTTGTTACTTAATTTTGAAATTATGAATTTAGGCTTTTGTTCTGTGGGACAGTGAACTGCCAAAAATCATGGGAAGATAAAATGTGTTTAATAGAATTAGTGAAAGTAACTTATTCTCTGACAGGAATTATGCCAGGTGAGGTATTATTTGAGCAAACTGCTGTAACTTTTTGTGGCGATCAGGTATCTTCTGCCTGGCATAAATGCTGATTTGACGGAAATATGACCATATGCTCATGTGTGATCTGGATCAAATTTGTTCTCTTTGGTTCTCATCAACATAGAACCACTGTGTTAGAATGTCTAATTTCAATAAATGATATAAATATGGTTTTGGTATTTTCGTGATAGAGAAAATTTTATTGGTTTCTGCTGACACTCCTAGCTTGTTGCTATGATGAGTGGTACAAGAACTAACTTGTATTGCAACATGGATAGGTGGTAGACATATTCTGGCACTTTGTGCCTGCTGATATGAGGGGTTATGCTATATCCAGAATGAATTTCTTTGTCTCAGGAAAGATAAAGCACTGGAATTTTAGTTGATTAGATTTCAGAAAGCCAGCAGCATATTGTATTATGTTGACCTTTAAAATTACTCTATAACTTGACTGGCTGGAAATCTGTTTTGTACTCCAGGCAAACCATCAAACTGAAGTGAAATGATTGGTCAATACAAATATCGAATATTTAAAAGGTTAGAGTACTGTAGAAATATGCTACCTTTGACATTGTGTATCAGACATTCAAACTTTGATATTTTGTTCCCAAGGAAAACTATAATGAGAATATGGAATATACAATGGCATTATACAAATGTGGTGTTGTAGCAATGAGTGATGAAGGGAAGAAAGGTGGAGACATTTCTTACTACCTGAAAATAACTGGAAGTCTGTGCTCAAGCTATCACCTAAACTAAGAATGATGACATGAGTAAAGTTTGTTAGCCAGATCATTAATGTACTTAACTCCTGATATTATTAAGACACATTGGATATTCAGTGTCTCTGAAAAATAAATTAGACCCATTAGCTATGTAATTGTTTAAGTATCTAACTTTAGCACCAATTAGAAAATTAAGTCCAGTTTATGTGAACTTTCATAAATACTTTGAAAATATATACTAGGTTAACATAATGTAATCCTCAGAATGTATGTTCTAGATCTTATATTGCTGTCTTGCAGTCTTGAAATATCAATTTATCAGATTTGATATTTAAAGAACTTAAATATGCTTCTGTAACATTTTATCCTTATGATTACTTTAGATAGCTTTTTCAGAATACACAATGCTATTTTGTAATCTCTGCAGCGGTCCTTTCTCACAAAAAGATTGGTGTGTGGTTTTTGTTGTCATTAAAATTCCTTGTAAGTCTTTTTTTAATCACACAAATGTGACTGGGAATGATTGCCCCCCTCCCTATCCCAAATTTGTAATAACAAACCTTCAGACATGAAATTAGATCTTAATTGTACTGGATAATAATTACAATAACCTGATTTATTATAGGCTTTCTTCCTTTCAACTGGAGTAAATGTCAAGCAACAGTAAAAGTGCAGAACTCTCTAGTTGTTTGCTATTAATTCTATTGGATCTCCCCATTTATCACTGGATCTTGAATGAATATAAACTTCTCAGTATGACATGCACATTGATACAGGAAAAACAGGAATCTGTTTATAGTGACATTTCTCTAATGACTTAATAATTAATAGTTACTCTCTATTACAATTAAATTGAACAGAGCAAAAGATTATAATCATAAAGGAAGATTCATTATGCTTTTCTTTTTGATGTTGCTCTTGTATGAGCATTTCAAGCTGAGATCTTAGCAGTCCATGCATTGCTGCGTAGTACGTTGCTTCCAGCAGGCTTTCAAAGTTATTGTTAAAATAAAACCTACTTGAAAATGCTTTGTCATTAATGTCTTCCGATCATCTTCAATTTGCCGAAACTTGGCCTTCAGCCCTTTCATTTGTGTTTCCATTTTTAAAACATACTGGAAATCCCTCTGAGTCCGTAGATTTAAAACTTCAATAGACTGGGACATATTCTGAACCTGTTAAAGAAGAACACTCTCTAAATGCACTTTTTGTCACTTTAGTTTTTTCCTGGTTAGGTAGTTAAATGTCAGGCAATAAAATGTGCTTATGTCAATGCTTTAGTTGTGATAGTTTTAAATTCCATAACTGCATGACAGTACAAAAACTGAGGAACAGGGATAAGTGAGGACTATCAGGGGCAAGACCTTGAAGTCATAAGTGATTTGGATTAGCTACTTTGAGGTAAAGAGAGAGAGATCCTTTCAGCGCCACTATCAATGGGCTCAAAAAATGGTGTTAGGCAGTGCAGTCTACTTGCACAAGTGTAGCAGATGCTGTCTGTTCTTCAGGGTGTGCTATATAGCATGAGGAACAGGACTGAGATTTGGAGATTCTAGTTAGTATGAAGAGCATGATTTTTATTGCTGCTAGGCATTTATATAATAATTCAGTATAAGGAATTCATGAGACTATCCAGAGATTAGCTCGGGTGTGCCCATCCCCAAACAGGTGTTTGTTCATGACTTTATAAGTAGATACAAAACTAGAAATTTTATCCAGTTGTCTCATTGGTAGAAACCCATATTTTTTTACACGTGAGAAGTAGTCAATATTCATGTAACTTTTGTAGAGCAAGTGACTTTGTCGCTATAGCAAGCACTTTTACCACCATGAGGCAAGAATAACTGTTATGTAAAGTAAATTACATATATTTTTAAAAGTATCTGTTATAAAAGCAATTCTTTTGACAGCCATAAAAATGACACATTTTGCAAGTACATTTATTCTGTTTCAGTAAGTGTTTTGTTTTCCCAAAGACATGAAAAGAGTAGATTGCTGTAAATGTATTAGGCAGCATATTGAAGTTTTGACTCAAGCAAAAAAAAAAAAATTCTACCTTCCTAATAAAAGACAAATCCAGCAGTATTCCTGTTGTTTGCAAGAATATGCAATATTTGAACTGATATTCATGTTTGAAACTAATATATTGTGACCTACAGATTGTGTGGATTCAGAAAATACTCTTAAAATACTTTTAAAAATAGTATACATTAGTTATTGCACAGTTGCAATTAGCAGTTCTTAGAAAGTTTTTTAATAAAAAAAGAAATGTTTCTTTTTTTTTTTTTTTAATTTATTTGCCTGCTTTCAACAATTAGAAAGCAAAGTCCTTCGGGTCTTGGAAGAACTTTGAGAGTTTCAATTTGGCAGAAGATGCACTCACATAGAGGCTCTAATTAAATGACTGTGCATGGACCTAGCGAAGCAATAGTATGACATTACATACCCATAATTACCACAGTTCTAATAAGAAGAAAATAGCTTTTAGAGACTGATGATATAGGTTCTCTTCTGTGGCAGCTCAAAAACTGTGTCGAGATCTTACCACCCCTCCAGCCTCCACCCCAAAAGAAAGTAAGATTATTTTACATTAATATTGTAGTGTTTGGGAAATATGCTAGAGCAAAGACTCTGGGGACTGGTCTTCCTCTGTTAAGTAAACAGCCAGCATGATGGGAGGTGGCTCCTCTGGGTGCTAGTTCAGCCGTGTTCTCTCTCTGCATCTCATGCTATGGGCTCTGTCACATCCTGAAACTGTGTCCCTGCTGAAGTTCATGGAGGTTTAGGGAGGGAAAATCTGCAGGGTTCTGGCACTGGAGTTAGTTTTCTATAGTTAGAAAAATACAGAAAATTGTATGCTACAAAATGTATTTTTAACTCTACGTTTTATGCTGCTTTCTGCTGCTGTTCAGCTGCTCTCTCAGGACTCAGGTTCTGTACCACTGGCTGTGATACAATAACTATAACCTTGGTTACTTATACAGGGAACGCAGAGCAATAGTTTGTGTTTTCATGGCTGCAGATTTTTTTTCCATTGTTGATGTAAAATAATACTTCACTGGTTTTACTATATATGCAATAGTGGATAATACTGGAAATAAGAATTGTTTTGGGAAAATTTGCACCACCAGAGAATGAATAAATAGTATTGTTTGAGGAAAGAGCAAATGAAAGAAAGTCAGAACTGTTTATCTTCTGTATAGTCTGCTTTGCAGATGCTGTCATCTCCGTATCTCTTTATTTGTTGATAAGAGACAAGGAATGACCTTCAGGAGTCTCATGACTGAAGCAGAAGCTGTAGTTTAAATCCCACAGCAACTACCTAGTTTGAGGTTGGATTTGTAGCTGTTTTTTACACAGAAAAATCAGTCCTGTCTGTGTGTAAGGAAGAATTTTGGGAGGAGTGAACAACAAAGAAGGTGCAACTTCAGTTTGCTAGATCAGTGGCTTGGGTTGGGAAAGGTGTGATACAAAGAAAATAGACAAATAATAATCAGTGGTGAGAACACAGGTAGGGGATCTGCCCTGAAGAAATATTTTTATTAGATAACTCTTCAAGACTCAGTTATGTATTAAATTTAGAGGGAAAGGAGTGGATTTCCTTGGGAAGTTTAGTGATCAAAAGGAGGAATCTGTTGGGAAGACTTACCTTCTCTAGGAGTTGCCTGAGTTGCCTGCTTTTGGCATCTCTTGAACATAGGTTTTGTTCCGGTGCAACAACAGTGCAAATGCAACGGCCATCAGGATCCTGGGCTGAACTATAAACTTGCCACCCTTCCTTGGGGCTAATCTGAGTCTGTAATGACAAAATAATAAAAGCCGAATGGATCTTTTTGTTGTTTGAAAAACCACTACCTCAGAATATTTTTATTTATTTTTGCAGTATATGTTTGCAATGAGATTCCTCCTAGACAACACTGTTTACTTTCTCAACTAATTAGATTGGTGGTTTCGCACAGTTTTGTCATATCTTACACTGCTGTAATTGTTCTTTAGAAGTGTCCAGCACACATTGTTTCCAGTGTGATTTCTGCTTGTGATTCAGCACAAACTAGTCGATTCAATTCTTTGCAAAGGGATGTTCCAGTTTTTCATCAGCAGAGAACAACCATGTCCTTTCAGCATGAATGACTTTTACTTTAGACTAATGGAAACAACAAGGACAGAAGAGAACAGCTAGAAAACCCCAAAGAGAGAGCACAGGGTATGGTACTCCCACATTGGGACCTGGCTCAGCAGCACTTGGGGATGTGGGTCAGCATGTTTGCTCTTAGAGATGCAGCAGACAGAAAACTGTTCTCTGTTGACTTCTACTGCATTTACACCAAAGGGAAGAGAGGCTTGCTGCAAGGTAGTACTGAAAAGTGTCTGGTTAGTTTAGGTGAATGGGGGTCATGTCAAGCATGGCACAGTACTGTTAAGACATTGCACGTCCTTCACTGGGGGAGAGGAATTTGGAAAATTCCTAACCTGTTCTTGTTTACAGCAACCAGGATGGAGAAAGAAAAACCAAAAAAATACCATTTGCTTGCAGAGGATGCTAATACTGTACTACATTTAAAGTTTGTGTGATACCTTGTGAGACTGGGTATCTATTTAATAGGATGTGTAGAAATACACAGCATAAGAAATATAGAAAGTGATATAATTAGATGATTGAAAAGATTCAGATGATGGAATTAAAACTAATGGACACAAGAAGTGATTTTTTTACTTTCTTTTTAAACTGTAATTTAAAGTTAATGATATACATTATTCTTTCCTAATAATACAGTATTGACTACTGAATTTTGTAGTAGAGATGCTAATGGATGCCACTGAAGTAATTTTGGTCTGGACACATTTGGAATAAATTAGTAGTTATATTATAAAATTGTACTCAATGTCAGCACAGAGAACGATTATTTAAACTCACAAGCTTTGATATTGATGCTTTACTGGCAGCTTAGCACAGAGTAAGTTGCAGAGTTCCTCACCTCAGAAGAGGTACAATATCTCTGTAGACTGAGATTAGAAAAAGAGCATAGACTTTTCACAACAATGACTGCTCTGAAGAAGTCATTGAAGATAGCAATGACCTCTTCTATTGTAGAGTTAATTGAGAAATCAAAATTGTATTGTTCCCTTTTTGCAACGAAAAACAAAGTGTCACAATGTAGATGCCTGTAAAAAGAGGAGAGCTGAACTTGCCTCAGGGTTTGCTAGAAATCTGTATCCAGATTTCAGTGCTAAATTATACTGCCTCTATGGTGTTCTCTTCATCTCAGCTTTTAGGGCAAAGGGAATCTGGTTTGAGACATGGGGAACAATAAAAACTAAACAAAATTCTATCTGCATAGGCAATTTAAATTGATTTTGAGCGGCTACTAAAATTGCAAGCTTGAACAAGTGAAGTTTATCAAGGCTGGTAACCCTTGAAAAGTGTAAGTTCTGTTCACTCCAATAGTTACCATGATTCTCTATAGAACTTATGCCCAGATGGGGTTGTCATGCAAGAGCAAGGAAACTGAATTTTTGTTGAAGTTCAGGTATCTAGAGCTTGTGATTATAATTCCTTTAGGACAGAAAATACGAGTTTATGAAAAATTTTGATATTTGAGCTTTATACCTTCTAGATTTAGATTGATAGCAACTGGTTTTACTGCATTCAAGTAACTTTTCTACGGTGGAGAGTGTATGAGATACCAGGATCGCGCACAGCCTATAGTAAAGCCATTTTAATCCAGGCTGTATTAACAAAGGTACTTAGATGTTCTAGTAATGTCATGAGTGTCTCTCTTGGCTCTATCTATGGAAAAAACCCCATCTTTATTAACCTAGCAGATATTTTCCTATGGCTTCTAACATATGGCTTGATTTAAAAAAATAGCTGTTATTTGGGAAAGTACTTCTCACAGTGAGAAGACTGTCAGGCCCATTGTGAATGTGTGGGTATTGACTACCTATGCATAAATAAGCACTTACATAGCACTCCTACAATTTAGTCTACAGTTCTTTGTGGTATTCTGTGGTTCCCTCTATTTGGGCCATTGGGGTTCCTTCACTCATTAGGATGGGTAATATGAGTGATCACAGAGAAAAACAAGCACAGGTGTGTATGTGCACTTTACCTTTTTTTATTTCTGTTATTTTTTTAGTTTGACATTTAATCCCTAACTCAAGCAGAAACTGCTGTGCCATGCAGGGAAAGAGCTAGAAGGCATCAAAACCTTACAGAAGCTAATGAATCTACTTTTCAAATGAAGGTTTACTGCTGACAGGCCTTAGTAAACCAACAGGAAAAGAAATAACAAGTGGAGAACAGCAGTGATAATAAATTATGCTAGTTCTTGAAAATCTGGGGAAAGCAGAGCAGTCCCTACAAAGTCCAATATTAACCATTGCCTTAGAAGGCTGCTGTGTTACTGACTCACTTCACTTACTTCCAAAAGATTTATTTTTTCACTTTTATATATTCTGATAAAATTGTTATAGTTACCTCCATTGTTACTAGTGACAGGGCAAATGGGAGTATGTGTGTATGTGTACTTAATAAGGTTGCTTAAATATAAACAGTATTTTTCAGTTTGTCTGGCAGTTTCAATCCTGGGACTGGAACAGAGCTCAAAAGAGGAGGTAATTTCCCCAACCCCATATCCTTGTACAATTCTTCCAGCTGAAGGGAGGAAATTGGGAGTTTTTGTTCTTTTTTTTTTTTTTTTTTTTTTTTTTCCCTGGTACAATATACACAATTTATGAGCTGTGTACGTGCTAGGAGAGAACTTCTGGAGAAGTGCATGTGCTGCACTGTTCACTGGGCAGTGGATAACTCTTGATGGCAGTTAAAAATCAGTCAGTGATGATCTCAGTATTACTGAGAGCCTTGGACATAAAGTCTCTCAGCCACCATCTAAAGTTTAGGAAGGTAGCAGATTTGTGCTGCTTGGTTTTATGCAAAAAGAACCCCACATGATTGAAGTTCATATATTTTTTTGCTTGGCAGATGTTGCCAGGCTCAGATAATCAGGTTTTTATGATTGTTTCCCTAGCTCTACTGGCACTCTTGAAACACAAAATATGAACATAACTCAAACTCAGTGAGTGCAAAGGGCATTACTGAAATAATACTTCAGAGGTATTTATATCATCAGTGCTCTGTTGTAGCCATGGGAAGCATGACAGTTTACTTGGAATCTGAACATGTAAATTTATATAAACACACATATATGTGTGTTTGTGTGTATAAATATATATATGTGTGTGTGTGTGTGCTATAATAACTAGTATGCATGTGATAGTTACTCAGCTGTGATTTTAAACTTGGATTAAAATGTGATAGGGAGTTTATTAGTTGTAATATAGTGCCACAAGAACTAGCAATATATACTGTAGTTCAATGAGCACAAGTTAGATTTAAGGAAAACAAAATAGAGCTTTTCCTTATCTGCTCACCTTCTTGCTACTCTAAAACACAACAGAATTCTTTCTCACATTGTTTAATTAATTTAAAAGCAGTAATTTTTAGTGTAAATGCAGTGATTTTCTGCAGTAATGTTTTTCCTGCATGCATGTATTCAATTAATTAAGCATTGATTAGGAAATACATCATTTTTAGTTACAATTAAAAACCTAAGTTCTGAGTACACTGAACTACTATACAAATAGTTAAATTTACATTTTATATAACATACTATTATGTAAACATCTGATCGCAGTTACACAAAAAGATACAGAGAAGAGTGTTTCACTAAACATTTAGGACAATGGTGTCCTACTTTAATTTATGAATACCAGTGTTCCCTCTTGTCTAATTAAAGTATAACTTTAAGTTTTAGGCTTCTCATGAGTAGTTAATCACAGCTTTTCTGTAGGTCTTCATTAACAGAGGCTGCTGAGCATTAATGACACAAAGTGATATTTGTGTCATTTGTATTATTCCCATGTCAGCCATTCTAAAATTCTGCTATCCAACCTCCTAGTATCAATTTTATTTTGTTTCTAACAGCTGTTTATTTGCTTAATAGGAAAGAATCAGACCCCTTGCATATTGTGGTAAATAGCTAATATATAACATTATTCAGACAAGAAGAAGCCTACTGCCAGATTTTTTTCTTAATAATGCTATACATTTTTCTGGAACAGTATAGATAGGAAAAAAGGTCTAGACAAATGAAATAACATTGCTGTACTATTTCTAGTATTTCACGTTCAAGATGAAGGCACTTGTTCTAAAAGATTTGCGGATGCTATTTTAAAATCTTTCTGTTCATAGTAAGACCACAACATGCTCACCAGTGTGCAGTTTTATGATGCTCAAAGAGAAGCATGCATTAAGTGATAATAGGAAGATTAGTATCTTAAAAAGAGATTTACAAAGAGGCAACAAACGGAAGCTTTTACTGGCACTTAAATACTACTTCAGCATTAAGATGGCTTGCAACACATCACAGCTACTTACTAGAGTATCTGAAGTGCTTATTCTGGTGGTATTTAGTCCTACCAGAGATGGGAGAGTTTGGGACATCCAGTTAGAGATCATTGCCATGGTGCTAAGAACAGCACCAAGCTTCAGCAGTGGAGGACTCATTGCTGTGGAGCTAATGAGTTTTCATAGTGACTGATTATCATCCCAGTGCAGGCTGGCAGTGAGAGGCGTGACTGCAGCACACAACATGCACAGCATGAGAGGAGATCAAGCTACCCAGATTTAATCATCCATTAAAAACAGTCATATCCTTATTTGCCCTCTGTCTTTCTGCTCTTACTGACAAATCCTTACGACTGTCTTATGCTGACCACTAAATAAACAGTCCTTTC